GCGACGTTTTCAACAAGCGTAATAACACTTTATTATATCCATGATTAAGATAATCACAATATTTAATTTTAATCAGGAGCCATGATTAAATCACTAATCATAATTAGTTCGTAGAAGATAAAAACTACTAGAACTTAGAAGTAGTAGTTACTAGGTATTACGTTATCGCTCAGATTTTACAATTGGAATTTTACTTCTTTTTTCCAAGTAAATTTAAATTATCTAGATTGCTCTACTTACTTCAATCATTATTAGTTCATTAATTCCTTTTCATGTATACATACATATACATCTGTGGTCGCTGTGTTTGCTGGCAGTCTATGTGACTGTGTGTGGCCGTATGTGTTTTAGGATGAGATAAGTGCACACCTCAGTCACATGCTGAACTCCATTAAGATGGAGGAGAGGGGTGTCTACGTACAGTCCTCGACGCTCGGCTCCCTAGAGGCACTGCTAGAATTCCTCAAACAGTCGAAAATACCCGTGAGTATTCGCAAGAGACTTGAATATTTCTCCCCCAAACACTCGACCTTGTCATCTCGACAATAGGTTTCGGCAGCCGGCCTGTTGTTATCTGTTTTTATGTCCGTCTTAATGGGTCGCGATGTTTTTCTGTTAGAACAATAACTCATGAGCATTTGCTAACTCTGCTAGGTACAAAATACACTATCAGTAACTTGAAATGGTTTTGAATGGGTTTGAAATGGTAACTTGAAAAGTATTTGAGCGAATGATATATGTATCGATTTATCTTGCTGGAATTCCTAAATGTATAATAATATAGAAATATCTGTTCAGAAAACTTTGTGTATTGAAACATCTATACTTTTGTTTGTGGTAACACACGTACTATCCAGCTGCCATTTTAGTGAATTCACTGACTATCTCTATTCATGTGTACACAGTATGCCGGCATCAACATTGGACCCGTACATAAGAAGGATGTGATGAAAGCATCAACAATGATAGAGTTTGAACCACAGTAAGTACTAACTATCTCATAAATCCTGCATCTGTGTCTGCATGCTCACACTAACAGCAGATTTTAAAATGTCTGCATTAGAATTTAGCCCCGTATTGAGTTTTGTATTTTCATTTGCAAATAATTCCATACAAAAACAAATACAACAAGAGCAATCGGGGATAGCAAACCTCCGCCACAGCTTAACAGTCCCCCCATATATCTATATTTAGCTATTGATCTAATTTGTAGCCGGGTTTAACGTGGCGGTGACACACCATAAACCCCTACAGAGAGAGAAAGCGAAAGCGAAACGAAGCAAATCGGTTAGAGATTAAACCGCTACACTACGATCAATGATGAAAAATCCTTCAAAAAATTTCTGGACCCAGATCTGGATCCGGATCACGACCAAAATCGAATCGATTGGTTGTTTGCCCAAGACCAACCCGTCCAAAAAATTCCATCAAAATCCGTCCGTAACTTTTTGAGATATCCTGTTGACAGACAAACAAACCCACAAACTAACAGGGGCGAAAACATAACCTACTTGGCAGAGGTAAAAACACGAATTAAGAGTATATCATATATCGTATATCATCTATGAGTAATAAAAGATTGGTAAAACAGCAAGAACTTAGCAAGCAAACAACCTAGCAAGCAAGTAGGAAATGGACAGATGCATCGGTTATTAGAAATCGTGGGTTTCATATGATTTTTTGATTCATACTCCACCTTTCTTTCTCTACTCTACAGTCCTTCCTGGCCACTTTCTTTAAATAAAAAAGGTCGGTTATCGTGTGTACCAAATGTAAATATATCACAAACAGATGTAAGTTCTCATGGAATTATCTCTATATTGTGTACTTACAAATACACGTAGCTGAATACCACACCCACATTCAGTTCCAAATAACGCATGGGTACGTTTGTCACACTATTTTCCCGCTAGGTGGCGGGCGCAGTTGGGAAGAGTTGCGTGGTGGATTGAGGTCGTAGGACAGCTCAGGAGTCCTTGGCACAGGCTAATAACTAGCTCTCCACGCAAAAATAGACGTGCAGTGCGCGCCCCCACGCGCCGCGGCAGTGCCTGTCGATGTGCAGAGCGCCCTGTAATACACGTCGTTAGTTCTCCACCAACCTCTGTGCAGGCGGGCGCACTTACACAAGGTCTGGCAATGTGGTATTTACTGCTCCCATGCCCCGGCCTGCCGTTATTTCCCTGTCTGTGGAAACAGTCTCACTGACAGGGGGAAATTTCTAGACGGATCCCAAGACTGCGCCTGTAGCCTGCCGAGCAACACCATTTTTTGGCGTTATGTCTGTAAAGAGAGCTTGATTATAAATGCTAACTCAGAATATGCTTACTGTTACCATCAATTACTACCCTCTCTATGCCATCTAAAGATCTCTATACTATAGTAGTAGAAATATACTCTAATACAGATATTATACATATATTCTAGTATAGTTATACGGTTATACCATAGTATAAATATTCTCTAGTGTAGGTATGTTAATGCCACTGCCCTTTAGTTGCTCTTCGTGTGGAAATACACATTCTCCACATTGAACCCATGATGACATGTGATCTAGTTTTCACAGAAGCGCACATTCATAAGTGCACGTTGCTTGTGTGAGAATATGAGAGCGGATACACATGTGTGTCTATAGCCCTTCACAACTACTGTCGCAGTGAGTAAGCTTGCGATTGGCCGACTTGTGTGTAATCTAACAGATTATGCAGAACTGTTTGTGATGCATCTGGGTGTATGCGTGCGTCCGTGCGTGAGCGCGCGTGTGCGTATTTTTACGTGCAAGTGCTGTGTTTGTTTGTCGCGTAGACGTACCCTGGTACTGCTGGTAGTGCGCCCCCACTTCGCTCCCATAAATAGCTCATTATCTGACAGCTCCGGCATCAGGGGACGGTCGGAGGCGACATCGCGTCAACACCTCACAGCCACGGTGACAGGCGGTGACTACTCGCCGCATATCATCGTGTTGATGTGGAATTATTGCCGATTGTATGCGCACGTCGGGGCGCGCTGCGGTGCCATCTATAAAGCATTTATACATAACACCCGCGTGAAGTCACTGCTACTGCTGCGATGATGATGATGATGATGATGATGATGATGACGATGATAATGACGATGATGATGATGGTGATTATGATTACGATAATGATAGTGATGGTATAACAGTGGTGTCGCAACCTATTTCAAGGTGGCCGATGAGTGTGTGTACTTCAGCGTGCGTGTGTGCGTACGTGCGTGTGTGCGTACGTACGTGTGTGTGTGTGTGCGTACGTGCGTGTGTGCGTACGCGTGTGTGTGCGTACGTACGTGTGTGTGTGTGCGTGCGTGCGTGTGTGCGTGCGCGTGTGACAGCAGCAGACGCGTGCGGGCATGTCCGTGTGACTGTAAGCGTGTGGGTGCCGGCCCGCTGCCTGATTGTTGATTATCGTGCAGTAAACGGCGGGCCGCCGCTGCCGCCACTGCCGCCGCCTCGCTGCGACCATTAAGCAATAAACACGAGCCGCCACAAAAGTCGATCGCTTTTTCAAACTGTCGTTTCCGGCGCCGCCATTGTGAGCGACGCCCCCTGGTGAGACGGCGGCTCGCTTTGCCCTCTATCGACGTGCTCCCACGCACCCTCCCCCTCCTTCTCCGCCGCTGCTACAACTTTCCCTCCCCCCCCGTCCCACGTGAATTCATGGTGCGTGGTGGTGTGTGTGGAGTAGTGGTGGAATAAAATTGGCGAGAAATTGGGAGTAAGTGGAACGAGAAGGTCGTAGAATAACACCGTTGAAATTTCCACTCACCGATTAGTGAGAGCGAGAGAGAGAGCGAGAGAGAGAGAGAGAGAGAGAGAGAGAGAGAGAGAGAGAGAGAGAGAGAGAGAGAGAGAGAGAGAGAGAGAGAGAGAGAGAGAGAGTAGAGAGAGAGAGTAGAGAGTAGTAGTAGAGTAGAGTAGTAGTAGAGAGTAGTACGTACGTAGTAGTACGTACGTAGTAGTAGAGAGTAGTAGTAG